TTTTGTTCTTGTATCTGAATTGCCATTTGGTTAATTTGCTCGACGAAGTCAGTGTTTGTGCTACCTTTCCCGATAGACATGGCCACCACTTCGACGAGGCCTACAAGACATATGTCCAACATTAACTACAAATGACATATTTACATGAACAACTAGTTGTCAAAAAAAAAAAAATTTACATGAACAACAGACCATGCATAAGAGTATTGAAAAAGCAAGCTAGCAACAATTGGACATGCATAAGTTAGCCATTCCATCTAAACCAACAAATCAAAACGATAAACATAATAAACACAACACAACCTAGTCATATTGTTCCACCAAACACATAAACATCCACCTTAAGCAAACCAAACAAACCCAAATCAAAAAGTGTCAAAAAAAACAAGGAACATAATGTAGACGTCCTAAATATCCGACACTGTAAGAAGTTCGCCTTAAAACGTTAACACATAACACGGAAAGAACCCATCAGTTCCCATAAGTCGCCCAACCCCGTGCCCTATCCTAGTATCCATCAAACCCGCCGTGCACCAAAAAGGTTCGCAAATGGAGCTGCAGTGCTGCTTTGTAGTTGCTTCTGCGTAAGCCACTCGATAATATGGTCATCATCGGGCTGGCACATCATAACCTTGCGATAATCAGCGTTGTCCATAAGAGATGATGTAAAGTGGAACAACGGTGTACCGACCAAGGCAGGAATAGATTTCAACTTGTCCATGCACTCTGAAATAGTGTACAATGACTCATTCCCAGTTAAGTGCCTTACAGTAACTTCTTGGTTTTTAGTACGGACGACATTGCTCAGATTGTTAATGCTGTCAGCTATGGCAGATGCTCCACTAGTCGGCTTCCTCGACTTTCCTGAACTTGCGGAAGTATTCCTTTTCTTTTTTGCATCGGGGTCAACCACAGGTTCAACACCTTCCATTGACGACTCAACATCCACGTCAATACCAACAGAAGGGATTGGATCTGCGAAAGGCCGCATACCAAGGCTTTGAACCGAATCAAAAGATCTCTCGTTATCTTCGACAGTCCTCTCCCCCGGTGTCCAGTGATGTCTGCCTGTTGCAGCTGCGCCTGTGAAGACAATCTCCATCAACTCCCGGTGCTCCAAAGTCTTAGTCTTGAACTTTGCACAACTCTTGTTTATCTGCAGCAAAGGAAACACAAACCATTAGTGACAATATGTTACAAAAAAAATTTAAAGCAATGTACAAAGGTAACAAAATAGTATAAATAATTTACCAGTTCCATACGATCCCACCATTCACCGGAAGCCAGAAAATATGCCTGTTTCAGCGTCAAAGCCAATTCCAGTTACGCCTTTCGTATGGTCCATCAACTTCATCCAAGCAGTCCATTCTCGTTTTAAGCATGCGTACTTGTTCTTCAACTACTTGACATCATGTTTTTGACTTGTTTTTTTTTTCAAACTTCTTGCCCAAAGACTTATACCCAACGCTACTCAAAACCATGAATGGTCGGTTGCCCTCAACAATCTCATCGGTAATAAGCTATAGGAAAAGTTGTGTGGATTCATAATCCCACACAGCTTTGTGAACATTTTGGCTCTCGGCAAGAACATTAGCTCAGGCACTTCCAACCCCTTTATTTTTGGCAACGGTATGTGGTGAAATTCGTATGGAATCCATACCGACAATGCAACTGATAAATTAAAGCATAAGTATCTTATAAATGTATGCGTATCACTCACCCAAACAAATTGGCGGAAAAACCAACAAACTTAACAATTTTCACATTCATTTACACATAAAATTAAGATGAACTACCAACAAACAATTTTGTAGATCGAAACCACCATTCCATTACACGTCATTGACAAAGACTTGTAGGTATCATGTCCACAACAAACATAAGTCATTACAATATTAGCTTTGTTAGGGTTTTACAAGACAGTTTTCACATTTTCATATACGCAATAATAAGATTACAACAACAATGCACAGCACAGAAACAATAGTTTTCAAGATACGTAGCGTTTGTTGCATGTGAATGACATCATCCTACAACTGCATGACAATGTCGTGCGTGCCGGAGTCAGACTCGGTGTTCAATCGCCTAGGTTCGTCGTACCAACCAATCCAACTTAAACATGGCTAACGAAATGTACGTACAAAGCTATTAGTAAACTGGTTTAAAAGAAATGACAATATGTTACAAAATAATTGGGTGTACTCACCACAGGATTGTTACAAAATAATTTTTGTGTGTTACATTGATTAAAGTCTTACCTTTGAAAAAATATGCATTAAGAAATTTTTTAGTATTACATTAATTGGAGTGTTACGTTTGAAAAAAATACACTAAGGTGTTTTTTGTAGTTTATTACATTGGAGTGTTACGTTTGTGAAATGTTATATTAGAGTGTTATGTTTGAGAAAAGTATACTAAGGAACCTTTTTAAAGTGTTACGTTTAGTAACCAACTTTTCAAGCCAGTTCGTAGTTCGAACCATGGCTGTTGCTCTACATTTTTTGTGTAAACCGAATGACCAGGGGGACAACTAGCTAGACGTTCGGTGGGACACACTTCCAATGTACACACAATAAAATTGTAAAATTTGCCCCAGTTCCTCAGTTTGGTGAAAATTTTGGGTCGTTCTCAATTTGATATCATTTTGATGAAATCATTGGAGAGAAAAAAAACTTTCATTTTTCATCAAATTTAAATTTAATGATGAATCTCATGAACCGTTGAAAATGAGCTTACAAAATAAATTGTAAAAAATCAAATAAAAATGGTCTATTAAAAATGTCTAATGCTTAAGTCCACGATCTACGTGTGTGGTAGGTAAAACATATTTTTCTACAAGTTTTGTTCATATTTATGCATATTAGACCATCTTCAATCTTTTACTATTTTTTTATTAAATATAAATTTGATAAAAAAGTATTAAAAATTATTTCCAATCATTTTATCAAATATTCATTACATTAAGGGATACATATATTTTTTTTTCATTAAATTGAAAATTTATCAAATCTTTCATAAAATTTGCAGTCAATAAAAATTAAAAAATATAAAGTACTGAATATGTTTGTTTCTTTTATCGAATTTGATAAAAAATAAAATTTGGACTTTTAAAAGATTGAAGTAGTTCAGCTGCTTTTAATGAAATTTTAGTAATCAAATTTAGGGCCTCTTTGGTATATGGGTTGGGGCTAAATTAAGTCAATTAAATGACAAAATAGGATTACTTAGCGGATGCCTCTATTTAGGGGCACTTTGAGAAGAGGCTAAAAAAGTCAATTTTTTGGATTTTTAACTTTTTTATCCAAAAAAGTAAACTTTTTTACCTAAAAGAATCTAGTTTTTTATCAAAAAAATCACAAAAAAAAAAACCAAAAAACCAGTTTTTTACTAATTTCTCAAAACACCAATTACACACCATATTTTATCTTAAGGCATACCACTACTCAGTTCACACCTTTCATAATTTAAAAAAACATATTTTTTTCAACACACACCACAATGTTCCATTTTTGCTATTAGTTCCACACCACTTAGTACACACCTCAAATTCATACAAAAAAAAAAAAAAAACACAAAAAAAAACCCTAACTCTTTTTCACGGCGACATAGTCGGCGGCGAAGGGCTGTTGGGGCTTTCAAATGTGCTCAGCGTCGATAGAGGCGAACTGGACAAAACCTAAGACTTCTGGGTCAACACAGATTACAAAATCACAACTCATTTTCACAGAATCAACACCTAAACCCAAAAGAAATCAAAAACATACCTTGAGATTTTAAAAAGCAGAGGCCATTTTCTATGTTCTTTCTTGCAGAGTGAAACAAGCCAACCGGCAAGTCAACCTAGTGAGTAGGCCCTCCTCGTCGCTTTCAGTCTCGATTGAACCCAAGACAAATTCAACAGGCGAGTAAGAGCCAAAATCGTAGGGAAATACAAAGTTAGGGCCAAAAACAGAGTTAAGGCCATCTTTGTTGAAGTTTTCTTTGTCCATGAGTATGTCGTCGTCGGTTAGGAACTTCGAGGGAAGCCAAAACTCTCTGTTGTCGAGAGTGCGAGCAGCCATAGCAGCAAAACAACCCAAAAGAGAGGCTAATAGTGAAGAGATTGAGAGAAAGAAAGAGAGATCGCCGACGAAGGTTTGTGGTGGTGAGGATTCGCCCTGGAGAGAGGCGAAGAGGCAACGACGGTGAAATGGCGGCGGCTACAACAATGGTGGCTAGGGTTAGGGTTAGGGTTAGGGTTAGGGTTTAGATGTTGTGTATTCAACTAAGGTGTGTATTGATATTCTTTTGTGGTCATTTTGGTCATTTTAGATAAGGTCATTATTGTAATAAAAAAATAACCAATTAATGATGTGCTTGGAGATAAAACGTGGTGCGTAAATAGAGACACCTTAACTTAATCAATGATATAAAATGTCACAATCAAACTATAATTATTTTATTTTTTTATTACAACCATCAAATCAATAAAAAAAAATATCGTTAAAAAAATTACTAAAAAAATTAAAAATTTATCTCAAACTGAATTTTTTTAGAAAGGCTAATATAGCTAAAAAGTCAAGTGCAAGGGTATGCAAACTTGCATTAGTTCTTATAAAAATACATAAATTATCTTACAAAATCAAGAAACTTAAACACAAATTCACGTAAGTTAATATATAAAAATTTTAAAAATTACAATTTAGTATAAGTTTTCACAAATATACATAAGTCACTTCACAAAATTACCTAACTTAAACACAAATACACATAAATTAACTTATAAAAATTTTAAAAATTATAAATTAATGTAAAGTTTCATAAATATACGTTAATTATCCCATAAAATCACGTAACTTAACACAAATATATATATATATATATATATATATAAATTAACCCATAAAATATGTTGTAAATTATTATATAAATAAATAACATAATAGGACTTTCACACTCGAAAATTATCCAAATCGTATTTTATCTATAAAAAAAGAAAAAAAAGAAAAAAAAAGAAGAGGGATGAACGGAGGAAGAAGGGGTGAAGTTGAAAAGAACTCTAAGAAGAGGGGCACAACAGCACAGAGACCAAAGTTCAAATCCCATCGGGGGCCTTTCATTTGGACCAGGCGCAAAGTGAGAAACACACCCTCCACCACCACGACAAAGACGCGCTCTCTCTCTCTCTCTCTCTCTCTCTCTCTGATACACACCTTCTTCAAGTTCAGTGCAGTACCAGTGAACAGACGAAAGAAGTAGGGCCAATTTTGTCTCATCATCCCCGAAACCCTCCCTCCAACGATTTCACAGAATCTGGAACACAAGAAAATGGGGAGCTCGAAGGACGACTCGGCCACCGACGCCGACAACTCCGGCGGCAACCTCCCTGCCTCCAATTCCAGCATCTTCGCGGAAGGCGAGAAAGTCCTCGCTTATCATGGCCCTCGCATCTACGAAGCCAAGGTATCCATTTTCTGTTCGACTTTCTTTTCCTTTGCAATTTTGCTTTGTGTGTTTTCATGGAATTGTTGATTGGGGAAAATTGCGCAGCGATTTGTATCATCAATTATCGTCAAGTCAATTAAGGGTTTGAGGTTCATCTCCAGCGCTTAATTTTTATTTAGTAAAAACTTTATTTGATATGAAGCACTCCATTGGACAAACTCAGATTTAAGCATAAATTTGAGTAAAAGCTTTAGCGTTGGCAAAGTTGTAAATTTGAAATATGCTAAATGGTCTTGAAAAGTTTGAGTGTAAAAACGGATAAAACTTTGATATAAGCTTGTGTTGTGTGAAGGAGTGGAGAGGTTTTTGAGTATTTTTATCCAAATTTAAATTTAATATAGGTTTGAGTCAAGGTTTGGAGATGGTATTAGGTTTGTTTTACTTATTTTACAAATAAGGGAAATTTAAATCATTCTCCTACTTTTTCCTTTCCTTTCCTTTCCACATAACCAATCAACTTGGAAGGGAAACACCATCCTTTTTTTAACGCACTTTCATTCGCTCTCCTGATTTTTTTCCTCCTGTTTTCCTTCGTTGTATAAAGTTGAAATCCTGTGGTATATTGTGTCATTGTCTTAGTTTTTAAGATTATAAAACTCAGTTCTGTTTAATCAGTTGTTAAGATCCTTGAATTCACTGTCTTACCCATTGCAAGGTAGCATGTGTTTGTTATTAATACTACTCTGTTTGGTTCATGGGTTTCGTCCCATCCTGAATATAATTGATTGTGAATCATGAATTGAAGAAGATAAATTCAGCATAGTTTCTTGGGTACTAGGAAATGGACTTTCACCTAGTGATATCTGTAACAAGGCTTCGACTTGGCTGATCAAAAAGTAAGGCTTTAACTTGACTGCGGATACCCCTTAATGATTTTGTTTCTGTTCCCAAAAGTTGGACAGTTTTTGCATTCCCCCTTCTCCTGTTGTGATTAGTTGTATCTAACTACTTTTCTAGAGTGATTTTTGACTCTTGACTATAAATCATGTTTTCACCTGTCTAGTGAAAATAAAATATTTTGCATTTAATACAGTGCTGAAATATACCCGAAGGTTTCCTTTGAATTAATAGTTTGAAAATGCTACTTTGTGTATTTTTAGTCTGTCAGGCTAGTATAATGTTTTTCTAACATGGTTATTAAAATCGCAATCCGGATTGTAGGATCGTACGATCCTACATTGTTAAAACGATCCAGATTGTTGTAGGATTGGTGTAATAACAGGATCGCAAGTAGTATTGTGTAGGATCATAGGTAGGATTGTAGATTTTGTGATTTTTCATCTTATTTTTAATATGTATCATTCTAATTTGTATTTTTTTCTTCGTAGGTAGAATTGTAGATTTTGTGATTTTTCATCTTATTTTAAGAATGCATCATTCTAATTTGTATTTTTCTCTTATTTTTAATAGAAAGTAGGATCTTACGATCCTCGATCCAATCCACGAGACCTTCTCACCGATCCTACCTAGGATCCTGATTTTAACAACCTTGCTTTCTAAATTGTCATTTTATTTTCAATGTAATCAACATACTTGTAATTAGGACTAGTAAGTTACATTTGGATTTTATCCATTAGGATGTGAACATGCATTTATGAACTTCATTTTTTGGCCAGCCCATTCTTTTATCAGTTTCTGTATGATGCTTAATGAGCGGAAGGTGTTTGCATGCCTGTGGGTTGTGGATTCAGTTTTGAGGTTGCTGAAAACAGGATTTTGTCTCGCATCAGTGCAATAGAATTGCCATACTAATCATACCTTATATTTACCTTCCGCTCCAATTTGAATTGCTTGTATAAACTCCGTTCTACTAAATGTACTTTTTAATGCTCATAAAAAAAGGAAAAAACCTTGTTTAATATCATGACATAGCATATTTTTGGTAATGGCCATAACTAAATCCACTGCATTTTTTTTTTGGGAAGGTTCAAAAAGCCGAGTTTCGAAAGAAGGAATGGAGATACTTTGTTCATTATCTTGTAAGTTTGGTTATTGGTTTTTCTTTTACCCTTTACTTCCATTACCAATGCATGGTATTTGTGTAAGATATTTCTTTCAGTAACTAAATGCTATTAACCTCATAGATTTTTAGCTTCACAAATTTGGTTAATATGGTAGGATAAATAACGTACTTTTTGTGTATTAACATCTATTGATAATACACTTTTATGTTTTGCAGGGCTGGAATAAAAAGTGAGTATGCATTCTCTTCCCACCTTCCCAGTTGGTTTTCCTTGTCCCAATCTTAGGGTTCTAAAACTGGTCCTCTTCTTTCTTTTTATCATCTTCTTAGGTCTTCTATTTTACCTTTTTGTTTATTTATTTTTATTATTTGCTGGTTGGACACCACCTCTCTCTTCAACTTTCCATAGAAATCCTAATTCCTAACAGGCCAACAATACTGTATTAGTTATGCATGATTTGGGATTAATATGCCATATTTTTCTGAACACTGAACTAACAGTTGAAATTATGATAGAAAGAGTGAGTGGTTGTATACTATATTGGTTCAATAATGACATATAATCCATTTGACTTCATCAAAAAGATGTTGATGTAAAGTTTGTATTTGAATTTTGTCAATCTTCAAAAGGTGAAGAGAAATAGTTACTAAAGCTTGGATATCTTGCCAACAGTTGGGATGAATGGGTAGGCATGGACCGGCTGATGGAACTTACTGAAGATAATGTCTTGAAGCAGCAAGCCCTTGACAAAAAGCAGGGTGTAGACAAGAATTCAAAATCAGGGCGTTCGGCACAAACTAAGCCAAAGGCCTCATCTGGTAGTTCTATTCTTCTTTGACGTAACAATGGTTGCTTAGGAGCTCAAATTGCTGTTCTTACATTGCTTATTTGCATCTGATTTTTCTGTGTGCCTGTGTGTGAGTGTGCATATCTATCTGTGTTTGTGTATAGCCCATCTACCCATAGTGTTGACTATAAAAGATTTTTTTCCTCCAGTATAACCTATAAAATAACTTTTGTGGTACTGTCATGTTGGACCTTTTCTACCCTCTTTACCTTTCTTTTGTTATTAATTTTTGTTATTTTTTTTTTTCTTCCCGTCTGTATATCATTTCATCAACATATAAAAGAATGGATCAAGAAGTTTTGTTTGACCACCATGTGTTTGATGGAATCTATGGGAGGCCATTCTACATCAATGGTGTGATATGATAAGGATAAAAATAGAATGCTTGGATTCATGAAATTGTAGAAGTTGCATCGATTGGAGATAAAATATGATCAAACTAGCAAATGTGGTTTGGATATGTGCAACAAAACCATAAAATGCACCATAAGGAAATGGATGCACTCCATATTGAGTGTAATGCAACGGGGGAAGACATAAACTAATCAGGGCTTAGATAATATGTTAGCATAGTGGCTAGACAGGTTTCATGTAGTTGATCATAAATTGTTGGGGTTAAAGCTCGGTGGAGTTGAGTACCAACATGCTTGTGCCAGCAGAGGCACCAATGGAGATAGATAGAGTTATAACGATTAGCTTAGACAAACTGGCTATGACGTAAGGTATGATTTCAAAGAGTCTCCATATTAATGGCCATCTAGAATCTAGAGTGGCATTACTAAAAGTTTTAATTACACTAGTGATTTTTTATGTTGTGAATTTTGCTTATAGAAAAAGAATTATGTTGTGAATTTTCTCATTGGATAAGTTGTTCCAATGATATATTGACACCCTTGGATGACCATCATCATGACACCATTGAATTTGGAGCTTTCCCGTTATCTAACTTGTACTCCGCAAATTGCACTTCTGCAAAGTCAAATATGTTAGTTGTATAGGAAACTTGTGAATTTGTGCCTTTTCATTGTGTCACTAGTAGGATGAATGGATGTTTAATCAGCATTCATCCAGAAACCATCTTGTCACTCAGTTCCCAATTCCCTTACTTCTTTCTGAAGTGGCATGTAGCAAATCTGACTTTTATATTCGGCATTTTCTTATCATTTTATCTGTTGATATCATCAATCTTTTAAATGAATTTGCAGAGGCAAAAGTGGATAAAGAGGATACGAAGAACAATGGTAGGGAAATTTTCTTCAGTTTGTTTTGTTTAAACTTCAACTAATTATTGTTTCCCTCAATAGTTGCGTTATTATGCTTTATTGTCTGCCACAACCTTCATGATTATCATCCTTGTTGTCATCATCATTGTGGTTATGGGAATTGGACCTGCATTGACCTCCGTTTCAACTTAGGCTAAGTTTGGGAAGTGTAAAAAAAAGCCAAAAAGTCAAAAAGTTACTCAAAAAGTTAAAAAGTTATTACTATTCACCAAAAGTCAAAAATTACGGCTGCACAACTCTCAATCCTAATTTTCCCTTACACACTAATTTATACAATTTTTTAATACACATTTTTCCATAAAAAGTCAAAAAGTTAACCCAAACATCCATATTTTTTCCCTCAACTTTTTAGTCTAAAAAGACAAAAAATGCACTTATTTAGGACACCCTAAACAACCCTTTAGTGATGGTCTAACCACTTCAAATGCTGGTTGAGTTGGCTGAACAGTCCAGTTTATGAATGACTGATATATTGAAAATTATATAATGCTACTCGAAGATATCTGCTATGTTTTTATTTTATAGTTTTGGATGTAAAGCAGGTAAGTCTGGTGCGAATAAGTTACACGACTGGTTTGACTGGTTGGATTGCTGGTTCACTGGTCCAAGTAGCCAGCCTAGGGTCAGGTTTTGATAAGCATTATTTGCAGCTGTTCCTTTTCTTTAGACATTAATTACTTTGTTTTCAGGCTATATTCTCAAGAAGGGGTCGATACAAACTCCCACTATTGATGCCGATGCCTATTCTCTCTTGGTGAAACTTAGAAAAAAAAATTTCATTTGTTTTAGATAAAATGTAATTGTTGAATAGTTTGCATTTTTGTCTTTTTCTGGAAATAGAGTAAGCTAACTGCTAACATTTAATTGGCTCAGTTGATTATCTCTGCTGTGATTTATACCCTTCCGATGTTTATAATGGCAATAGTATTGTAGTTGTACCTAATAGTCATGTGTAATTATTTACCCAGTTAAATGAAAGTAGTTTGCATACAATATGTTGTTGATAATGTGGAAGCATATAATTTCAATAGTGTGTTAAACTTGGATTAATACCATTACAGTTGTTCTATTTTTGTACTTTTTAAAAATTGCACTTTACATAAATATTAAATCGTACAAGACCTGGAGATATATTTTTGGGAATTCTTCATGTAAGTTATCCATGATAATAAATGATACTTGTTTTCTTCTAATACCATTAGTGTGTTTTGGTTGAAGTTAAATGATTGAGGTATTTGTCTGTTCGGTCTTCTACATCAGTCTCCTTATGGTGCTATTTGTGCATGCATATTTATAAGTCACAGAGAATAGTTCTGAAATGAGGGAATGTGTGCTTCACTGTTTCTGCATATTTACTTAGTCTAGGCAAATTTTATTTACTGATTTAATAAACTCAACCTCAAAAAAAGATGATATAGAGACAAAATGTTGAGCCTAGCAGATGTCAGTTGGGCAATATTTTTCTTGTTAAGAAACTATTTGTATTTGAGTGCAATTGTATTCTCCTTAAAATATTTGTTATTATCAGGAGGCCTCTACTCTGATTAGAAGACTGCTTTTAGTGAATATGATATGGAAGAAGGATTGAAGCACATTAAAACATCTCTGTAGATGTGAAAGTTGAATTTGCAGATTGTACATATGTAAACAGTAGAATGTACAGGAGGAAAGTGAGGCATAATTTCTTGTTGGAAAATGCTAAAAACAATCCGTAGGGCTGTTGTTAGTGTTGGAAAATTTGTAAAAAATGTATAAAAATATGTAAAATTATTTTGGGATATGTGAAAAGTGTATTGGGATTATAAATATTTTGACATTTTGTGTTTCTTAAAGACAGCCCTTAGGGCTGTCATTATTAGGACCCTTTCCTGTTATAAGCCTAAAAGAAGTGTTTATACTTGAGCCAGTCTTAAATCCTTGTGTTCATGTGGTCATATCCCCAAATCTGAGGGTCCATGGCTCCACACTTTTCAGTTCTGAGAATCCCTTGTATCTGAAGCATCTAACCTTTGAGAATCACCCCAAAGTGCAGTATATTGCCTTGAAAAGTAATTATTGTACTCTTCATATATTATTCTATTATCTGCTACTAGTTATTAGAAGTTGGAAGTGAGGGAGTAAATGCCCAAGCTATACAGTCCGAGGTGCAAAAACAGTTAGTGCTTGATATACATTGTTTGGCCCATTCACCTACAAGTTTTGCAGTAGAGTGGTTGTGTAGGTAGGGTATAGCATAGGCCCAGCTCGATATATCAGGCTGTGGTACGTCCCTCACTTTCATAACGGCTCAAGTTTTTGGGCCTAGTGATTTACCTATCGCATTCACATTGTGAAACACTTCTATGTTGGTAAACAACTTAACTATCATCCATTCAAACATGGTTACATTTCCATTTTTCTTTTCTTTTTCCTATGGAAATCTTTTTGGTTACTTTGGTTGTTCTTGGCTTTACCTTATTGACATCGTTTGCTATTTTCCATACTGCTGTTAAATTTAATTTTATGCAAGCATTGGATGTTGCCCCTTAATTTCATGCAATCACATTGCATATATGTAAGTTTGAATGTTGTGGCTGCCATTGCTTTTTTGGAGTCTATCTTTCCAAGTGGTTATTCTAGAAAGACATGCTTTAACTAAATTTAGTTTTTATTTGGATATATATATATATATATTTTGGGAGAGGTAAATTATTTGGATATTTGGATATTATTGCAGTAGCTAAAGGGAAGAAGCGAAAGATTGACTCAGGCGTTGAGGTCTGCTTCGATATGTTATTGCATATTGTACATCTGTACTTTACTTGAATATTTATGCTTTGCTTTTCATCTTTTACTAGTTTAAGGGAAATTGTATGCAAATTTTTGGTAAAACTCATGGAATATGGTTGCTTGGCTGCTAATGCTATTCCAGCCAATGTACCTTAGCTTTGAACTGTTATTTGTTCATTGAATGGGAAGGTGGTGAATAAATCCAAGTGCTCTCTTAAGCTTTCTAGAAATATTTTTGAAGTAGAAAGTTCACATGTGGAGATTCAATGGATTGTGTTTGCAGTATTGTTACCATTTTGAAAATGAGCAAGTCTTGCTTTTGTAATCACTTTTTTTTCTCTGAATTTTTATTCTTCAAAATGTACACACACACACACAGACATGCTCTCTCTCTCTCTCTCAAATACTCTGTTATCAGAATCTTACGATTCGCGATTCGATTCACAATTTTTACAAAATTGATACAAATTTATGGGTGAATGTAAAAATATATGTATAAAGAGAAAACTACAGAGAATAAATGTATCTGATGATCTTATTATTGATTAATATTGATTGATTTTCTGTCTATTACAAATGGTTCCTTATATAGATGTAGGTGTAGTGGATGGTGGTAGTGGTGTAGTGGGTTAGGTTTAGTGGAGTAGGTGAGGTGGTAGTGGTGTAGTGGGTTAGGTTTAGTGGAGTAGTGGTGGTAGGTGATGGTAAATTCTAACAGTGAATCTATTTTGGAAGTGAATCTCTAGTGAATTGCACGATTCACAATCGATGCACGATTCACAATCGATGCACGATTCACAATCGATTCACGATTCTATTCACTTTTTACGATTCATGCAATTTTTGAAATTATTGTGTTCGACATATTTTCGACTCTTTTTTTCTCCATCTTTTTAGTGAAAATGACATAATACAGTTTCTAATAGCGTTTAATACCAAAATAACCAACATATATACATGATTTGTTATTATTTTAGTGATCTTGGAATTTTTAATAGGATCCAATCAGATTTAGTCAGACCCAACATATTTTTAACCTTTCTTCTCATTTTTTTTCCCTTTAAAAAAGTATGATATATCTTCTAAAAATGTTTAAGATTAAAATTGCACTATGAATTATCTATTGCTATTTTATTAAATTAAATGTAATTGAATATTACATGTGTAAGATTAGTTATACCTTTTAAAATGTTTTAGGCTTTAAAATAAAGGATTCAAAATAATTCTTTCTTATTATTTGCTTACTGTTACTTAGAAACGTATATATGCTCATTGTCCAAATATCAATATCGTTGATAATTATTGTTACTTTGGAAATTGATAGTTTGTCTATTTAGTTATTATCTTTATTAAGGCCAAGTTTGGCAACCCAAAAATAATTCATCTTTTTATCTTTTTTCCATCACATTACCTCTCTACTTTTCTGTACATCTTTTCGTAAAAAGACAAAAAGTGCACTTATTTAGGTCATCCCAAACAACTCCTAGGATGATTAATAAGAAATATCTAAAAAAAAAGAAAAGAAAGTAAGATGGTAATTTTACATAGAAACTTTTGTTAACTTCTTACCTATTAAACTACGTGATTATCATTTAAAATAATATTTTTATTGATTTAAGTCAAAATATTTCATATTTATAAGATGTATTTAATATCTAAATGTGTAGATATATGTTTTTAAGTAATTTAGAAAAAGTGACCGAATCTTTACTATTCACGGTTCGATTCAATTCAATTCGCGATTCAGTACGAGGCCGTTTCAATTCACGAAATGAATCCCAATTTGTCAACTATGCTCAAATATAGTACCTATGTTGGAATTTTTCTTCTTTTCCCATGTTTGTTGACTAAGCTTTCTTTTGATATTGATGGGCAAAGTGTGGGTTCATTGTTGATTGTTGTTAGAAGGATAGTGCATCTGTGGAAAAGCTTGTCAAGGTCCAGATTCCATCAACGTTGAAGAAACAACTAGTTGATGACTGGGAATTCATTACGCAGAAGGATAAGGTTTTCATTTCTTCCTTATTGCTATTCCAATTCATGATGCTTGAATATAAATTTTGTTCTGATGGAGTTAATGTGGAAGCAGTAGTAGTAGTACAATAAAATTAGCATTGTTTTATTTGTAGAGTCATTAGTTTTTTTTTTCTTCTTCTGTTTGTGAACTAGAATATGTACTGCATTCCATACTAATATTGTAATCGGATCACCCTCTGATATATGGTTCTCCGTTTTTGATAGATTAATTGTTTCATGCTCATTTGCAGAATTAGTTCAGAACTGCATAACATCCAGTTGATTACATAAACACTATTTATTGGTGATTTTTTGTGCAGCTCGTTAAACTTCCGCGTTCTCCTAATGTTGATGATATATTGACGAAGTACCTTGAATACAGGTCAAAGAAGGATGGCAAGTAAGTGTATTAATGCCCCATGCCCCGTTTGAATTGCATAAAATCATTGTTAACCTGATTGCTATGATCTTTTGTCTTTTCTTGCTTGTGCTTGAAAATTTGAATTCCTCCTGTTCTAGTTATTTCCACTAGAACATTGTTTTCTATCTTTACTCCATATGTAAATGTTTGGACTGAGTTGTATGTTTTTCGCATTTACAATATGAGACATGTCACTTTGTGATATCTATGCCTTGTAAATAACCATAATGGTTTGACTTGACGTACAGCCATCGGGGTCTTTTAACTATGTTTTCAAACATACATAAATATATATTGGAAAAAAAATTCGGAAATATATAAATAAATTGATTGCTTGTGTCTTTCTCTTGAATGCGTAGATGTGGAATGTGTTAACAAAAACCATAAGTTCTTTTTAGATGTGGGTTTTATGGTAGTGTTGTTTTGAGTTAATTTTGCATAACCAAACCTTATGGAGGTGGTAAAATAATAGAAATCACCATTCTGTAGGTCTTTGAATGAGTTTGATTTATAGAGTATCTTAGTTCATGGTGATGATGAATTGCCTGTACAGTATTTTTCTTATAGTTGAGCTAACCTTGGACTAGCTAGGTCTTATGGCACCTTTGTTTTTACCATGTTTTGCTTGCATGTAGGATGACTGATTCAGTAGGGGAAATATTGAATGGATTACGGTGTTACTTCGACAAAGCATTGCCAGTTATTCTTCTATACAAAAAGGAGCGGCAACAGTATCATGAAGCAGTTGCAGATGATGTCTCTCCGTCAAGTATATATGGTGCTGAACATCTACTCCGTCTCTTCGGTATGCTCATCCATAAATGTGGATTTCAATGTGTGCAGATTTCAAGTTCATGTGTTTATGTAACATCTTATAGCATTTCTCTTCACATTTATAGCAACTTGAGTTGAATTGAATTGCTTGGTTTTGTTTTGAAGTCAGAAAACCCTTTTTTTCCCTCTCAGATGTTTGCTTCTCAAATGTCTCCATGGTTTTGTATTTTACTGGTGTTTGCAGTTAAGTTGCCTGAGTTGTTGGCATATGTAAACATTGAAGAGGAGACGTTGGTCCGCTTGCAGCAGAAATTACTTGACTTTCTCAAGTATATACTCTATCCTTCACATTATACTGAATGCTCTTAAGAATTTCATTTTCTGAGTTCTGGAAATTAATAATAATAATAATAATAATAATAATAATAATAATAATAATTTTGTTGTTCTGTTTTTTCTATTGTTGATGATGCTGTTGTTTGTTGCCATGAATTATCTTGTTTCTTTAATCTAAAAGAATGCATTAGACATTATATATTAGGCAAAGTGACTTTGCTGCATCCAGAAGAAACTTCAGTATGAGAGCATTGTATACAAATTTGTCATTTACAATGCAATTCATAGGTTTTAAAGTGAACTTGATCTGAAAAGAGAGCTATGGAATTGAAGTTGGATAGCTAAAGTATAATTTTCAGTCTCATTCTATGTTCATAGGAAGATGATTAGTAAAACTATTCATTTAGGCTATGTTTGGATCTTGGATTTGTGAAGGAGAAGAAAATAAATGGGAAATGCAGTTACTTGAACATTTATTTTTTATGGGTAATTAAACAAAAAAAAAGAAAGTATATTGATTTTTTACTAGTGAAGTCTAATATGTACTCATTTTCCTCACCCAACCAGAAAATAGGGAGAATTTAGGTTCTTTGACTTGATTTTCTTTTCCTTCTAAAAATCCAAGTTCCAAACACAATATTAGTATTGCTCAAATTGATCATAAGTAGGCATTCTGCCTTGCACAGTTGTGTTTCTTTGTTTACTGTTTTTTAATCAAACCCCTCCTTATCTGTTTCATCTTATGTTTACAGAATGAACCAATGCCACAAGTTCCTGCCTTTTCCTAGTAATAGCCACTCATAAATATTCATTGTTTTCGGGTTGACTGCTTGAAGATGTGAACTTATGTGCTTAATGAACTACAAGTCGATGATGTTACTGGATTAAATGGGCTTGAATTGTTTTCCTTCTCTGTTACGTCATGAAATGATTTTAATTTGTGAGAGAAGGAAACACTTAGGCCTCGTTTGGGGACTTACCCTTTTAGCCAAAAAGCCAAAAAGTTATCCTTTTAGCCAAAAAGCCAACAACTCATACCAAAAAGTCAAAGATTCTTTTTTCTCTCTACTTTTTGCACATTTTTTCGTAATTAGCCAAAAAGTCATCCCAAACATATAAGTTTTTTTTATCTACTTTTTTAGCCAAATAGCCAAAAAGTTACTAAATTAGCCTGTTCCCAAACGAGGCCTTATTCCCATTTTAATTTGATTTTTGTTTTTTTCCTTGTTTTAAGATGACAAACACAAACAGATGATTTCATTCCAAGGCCATTTAACAAAAATGTTTGTGTTTGTCATCTCAAAAAATGAAAAAAAGATGCCATTTCTATTTTCTTTTGTCTACAAATTGGTGAGTTTGACAGTAATGCAGAATATACATATGGAAGTGGGTAGTTTCATTTAAATATGTCATAATGCTTAACAATGCTCTTTGCTTTTATGCAGGTTTCTGCAGAAGAATCAGGGCACTTTCTTCCTTTCTGCTTATGATGCCTCTAAAGTTTCCGAAGGGAGTGGCAAGGGGAAAGATAATTGAGCAGCAACTCATTTTGTTCCACCAACAACGCGATCATACTTGCTACTGTCTCAAGGCAAAAGCATTTTGTAGAATTGCTTGACGGTGCTACTGGCTTGTCTAATTCTGTTTTGATGATCCAACTAGATAAATACTTCATTTGTTGTTGTACATTAGTTCATTCTTTTTGCTTTATAATTTGTTTTAGTTGACATTGATTCAGCGCTTTGTAGAATGAAGAGAACTACTTGGTGTATTAGCTAAGTGTTCTATACTTGTCTGTAAACATTTGGTGAGTTGTTTGTTATGCGTCCAATACATCATGAAGAAAAATTATCCAAACAGAAGGTTAACAAAATGCTTCAACTTGCAATGTTTAGATTGTTGAAATTGAATCACAGAATCAAGGTGAGATTGATTGGAGGTAGAGTGCATGGATTGGGAGTATAAGTTACCTTATATTTAATTAAGTTGAGTTGAGTGATGATTTGTGATCCTGATGCAAGAAATGAGATGATTTGAGAGTGAGGCCTGCACCATCTGTAATTTTAATTCTTTATAATAGAATAAAATTAGAGACTTATTATTTTCTATATTATGTTCACAATGAGTGCGTGGACTGTTTAATAGAAAATGGAGTATTTGTATAGGATTGTTTATAATTTGGTAGAGTTCACGCTAATACGATAGGCGGACCAATTTCTTTGTGTCTAATAATTGGACTGAGGATTTAATTAATTGGTAATGGGTTTCACTTCAGATTGAATTTGATGATTTGGATTGTTTAATACTTTTTGAATAGATTATTTGTGTATTAAATAACAATAATCATGTAATCAAATCATATGAAAATTTCGACTTATTATACCTTATTTAATCGAAAATGGGGGGACAATGTCTCAGCTGGATCCTTTTGCTAGAGGGAAGCCTATTTTCCACGGTATTCGGGTCTGGTTTGGAGCAGCGAACTTTCAATTATTGACGAGAAGCAAAAATGAGCACATATGTGGTGCGGATGGTGTAAATATGACAACACTAATAGCATCTCCAATGGTAGTAGGCATTTTACCTATCTAAATATTGCTATAAAGTATATATTTTATTTTGCCTATCAACGATTTCATGTTTCTGCCCCAACCATGCTCTTTATTTTAGCTATTCATCCAAATACTATTAACTTTATAGAATGCCACGTCAGCAACAAAGATGGAGGGAAATAATCTTAATGATTAAATACATTTTGCCTAGCCTTGAAGGCTAGCTACATGTAGCTAGTGAATGTGAGCTGAGACAAAATGCCTAAGCATATGCCTAGTGCATTGGAGTTGAAAAAAATGAGTCACATTAGATATTTTGACTAACAAACATCATATACCTAGTGGGTTGGAGATGCTCTAAAGTGCAAGTCCATGTCAAAATATTAAGGTCCCACTATATTTCGGTCTGCTTAGGATAGTCCCGATAGAGAAAGTGAATATAGAGAAAAACCAGAGGTTGAAGCTGACTCAAATGAACCGAACCAGCTCGTAAAAAATTCTTCCCAACAATTTCCAGTCATCCATGGAAACTATTCGTCTCCAGGTCGGAATCACCAATTTCCGATCACTGAATCGCACAAGTAGAACCTGCAAAGAAGCCGATTCACTCCATCTCAAACCCTTTTTTACCACCAAAACCCTCTTCTCCAAACCCCTCTCTCCTCATTCTCTCACTCATCTCCGCCACTTCCATTGTCTCGCCAAAGCCACCGATCCTCACCACCACCATCATGATCACCACCACGGTCACAACCACCATCACCATCACCAGCACCAGCACCAGCACCGGCACCAGCACGATCACGGTGGCCATGCCAATCTGACTAGGGCACAGGAAGCGTTTCTTCGATTCGCCGAAACAATTAGGTGGACCGATTTAGCAGACTTCTTGCGGGAACACTTGGAGCTGTGCTGCTGTGCCATGGCTCTGTTTATCGCTGCCGCAGCTTGTCCCTACTTGCTTCCGAAGCCGGCTGTGAAGCCTCTGCAGCGTGTTTTCATTATCATTGCTTTCCCTCTCGTTGGGGTAGGAGTATTCTCTCCGAATTTTGCCTAATTTTGATTTTGGATTGATAAACTGATATAATTTCAAACTCAATTGGCCAGTATTTATGTATTGTTAAAGGTCTTAGGCTAAGTAGGACTAAGATAAAATATCTATATATATATATGGTGTAATTTTAGTGAAACTAAATAGGAATGAAGATAAAGAGCAAAATTTGATGGGTAAGGTGACAAATTTTTTTCTTTTGGGTCAGATTTGCCATGAAGTTGGACTAGTATGAATGTAATGGAGGAATAGATCAAGATGAGTTTGATAGCCCTTATATTTACTTCTATTGCCATCTGGACTATGGTGTTATTGATCTTGGGCAGTATATTTTTTCATTGCATCTTTTTGGGTCTCTTTGCTGGCCTTTCAGACATGCATCCTTAAAACACGAGATTTTCTTGTGAGCTTATCTATATCTTAGAGATTTCCTCTCCTGTATTTCATTTCTTAAAATCAGGCTAAATACAAGTTCAAGCTTGTGTAATTTTGTGATCGAATTATCCTGTTGCTTTATTAAGTAAACTTTGAAATAATATTTTATTGATGTCAGGTCTCTGCATCACTGGATTCTCTCATTGATATTACTGGTGGAAAAATAAACATTCATGTACTGATGGCTCTTGCAGCCTTTGCATCCATGTTTATGGGAAATCCATTGGAAGGAGGCTTGCTTCTTGCAATGTTTAATCTGGCTCATATTGGTAAATATGAAACCAGTTCAATGGCATATTTTTATTTTTATTTTGATTTATTTAAAGGAGTAAATAAACTTTTGTCATGTAATATTTGACTATGGCTGCAGCTGAAGAGTATTTCACCAGCCGCTCAAAGATTGATGTTAAGGAGTTGAAAGAAAATTATCCAGATTTTGCTCTTGTGCTGGAAGTAAGCAATGAGAAATTGCCTAATTTCTCTGATTTGTCATACAAAAAAGTCCCTGTAAATAACTTAAAAGTGGGCTCATATATATTGGTCAAAGCTGGTGAGGTTTGTACTTGCAATTTCTTTGTTTTTAATTTTTTATATCAAACTTTATTGTTATAAACCTTGTTGACCTTGCCATGTTATGTGTTTTAGCTTTTTGCAAAGACCGTAATATTAAAGTCAATATTGGTTAAAGCACAGCACTGTCATTGTTCTGTTTCTGTGAGCCTATGCATTTTAAGCTGTTGAGACCTGCATGCTGTTGTTAGTAGCACCACCATATTTGGTTGTTAGATAGGATGAGCTTGAGAATGTGCCAGAAATGGAGTAATAATAACACACAAGAAGTAGCAAAATGTGTGATTATGTGATAGGCATGAACATAAGAATGCTTTTTTCTTTCTTTTCTATTCTCTTTTCAATTTTTTTTTTTTTTTTGGGGGGGGGGTGGGGTGGGGTGGGGTGGGGTTAGGGTTATCAATATAGATTGCTTCCCTACTTTTTCTGTCTTTTTGGGGGTGGTGGACACATGAGAGGCACCTGCTGATATGCATCAGGTAAACAACTAGATTTCTCCACTTAGGTTGTTGACCCAAAGGGGGAACTGGAACTGGAAGTTTTAAACTCTTCCAAGCTGTTATACACATCAGAGTCAATGTTTCTCTCTACATTCTAAATTAAATTTCCTTGTGGTTTGACCATCATAAATATGACATCCCATTTTGTGACAATTAGATAACAGCCTAAAATAGTTTGTTTTGGTTTGAAAATTCTCTCTTAAATTTGTACCTAGACGTGTTGTAATGCTAGATGTTGTTTTGTTCAGTCTGTACCTGTAGATTGTGAAGTTTTCCAAGGTAGATCAACAATTACCATCGAGCACTTGACTGGAGAAGTCAAACCAATGGAGAGGAAAGTTGGGGATTCTATTCCTGGTGGTGCAAGGAACCTGGATGGCATGATGATAGTGAAGGTATATGCTTTAACTTGTTTGAAACCTCTACTAGACTATTCAAAGATCTCATGATATTGATGAAGTATAAAAAATTTGAAGTGAGATTTCCTCACATGGACCTGAATATGCAGAATGGTATGGTCCAAATGAGTTTCTTCTGAAATTTCTGGAAACATAGATGACAGAAGTTTTCTTAGCTTGTTTTGCTTGCTTTTTATATTGAGCCAATAACTTTTCAATGTTTGTCATTATTAACTTGAATTCCCCCCCTTAATTTTCTTCATTCTCAAGTTCTTTTTCTTAGAATATAGAAAAGGGAATTCCAAAGTTTAACAAGCTGTACATGGTTCAAATAATCTGACAATCCTTATGTTTCCGAATATTTAGGGCATCGCCAACAGCCTGGCTAAATGGACCCCTTTAGCTTTTTTAAGCCTCCCCTCTTTCTAACCATTTAGCCATTTTAACATCTTAAGTTTTTGGATGAGATGCCCACTAATTTGGAAATCAAATTCAATCTCAGAAAGGTAACTTGGAATGACTTGTCATCTCTTAAATGCACCCAAATAATGGAACAAAATATAAACCGTATATCCATTCCACCTCTCAATTCCTGACACCCAAATGTATCCTCACTTCTTATTGTTTGGATGAGCCATAAAAAATTCTTTTCTTCATGGAATTTGATGGAAGATTGATGAATTGTTAACTACCGTCTCATTTGTTAGAGAGGGGAGTGACTTTATTATTATATACTCAACATGGCTAGACTCTCCTCCATATGTGGGCTAAACATGTGTGAGCATTATTATTATTGTTATTGTTATTGGGTAGGTGGTGAGGTTTGAACACATGATTTATTGTTTGCTCTGAAACCATAATGAATTTGTTAACCACCATCTCATCTAAAAGCTAAAGTTGTTAGAGAGATGGTTAACTTTATTATTTGTATCCTCAACAAAGATAAACGATGGATGTTTGTTTGTTACCAATTCATATTGATGAGTTATTCGGTGGGGTAATTCCAGTTTGGTGTAATATGTGGTATTAAGTTGCTAGTGGTAGTGGCCATCATTGGTAGTGCTGTGAATCAGGATATGGTAGTGCTGATGGATTGCCCAAGGTGGTGATAAGTTAGTGTTGGAGAAGTGCAAGCAATGGTCTGCTTGCTGTTGGAACTGGTGGCATGGTGGTCTTGGCAGTCTCTTTGATATTGAAAAGGGTGATATGTGTCTGATAAATTTATTGAACATCTATGTCTTTATGATAAATGGTAGTTACAAAGTTTTAGTGCTAAGGTGAATTTTTATTAAAAGGTGGCAGTGTAAAAATTCTTTTGTAAGAGGCACCTCTTCTTGCAACATTACAGGCTATGTTACACGGATTCTTCAAAATAAATCAAATACCCCGTGTCGGACACCCGACACTCAGACAAGGGTATGGGATATGTGTCGAATACTTTTCAACGGACACTTCTTATATAATTGTACATAACACTATTATTATATGTGCATATTGTTGTATAATTGCTAGAAATGTCTTTTTGACATTGTAGGTTACATATATCACCATTTTATCTCACATACTTTATTAAAAATATAAAAATATGAAATTTTTTTACTGAGTCCGCGTACTCTTAAATTTATAGTTTGACGAGTCCGACCTCTAGATACATACCCGTACCCGACACCCGTATCCGAGTCCGCATAACATAGGTTACAGGTTGCTCTTCTGAGTTCTTATTGTCTCATGGCTGTAGATACTCTGTACCTATCCACCTGTTTTGGTTTCAGAACTCTACCTACATTCACGCATGTTATTCTCTCTGAAGGTGGCAATTGGGTGTTGCGGGCTGTAGTAGTGGGAGGAGTCATTGACAGTGACAATATGACATATGGGCAGTGGTTGTCAGATCATAAAAACTGGTGCTAATGATGGTTACAGTGGCCATGGTGGAGATGAAATTTTCAACTTGCAGACTTTTTGCAGTGATGGTGATGAAGGTGGTTGCTAGAAAATATGACTGTGGTGAAGATGGAAATTAACTAGCACAGTTGCGGATCTTGCAAATAAGAAAAGAGCAAATCAAGATTTTTGCAATTGGATAAGCTGCACCTAGGACCTTTGCAATGAATATTGTTGGGATTTCCTTTTCTTTATCTTTTATTGGTTATTTTCTCCCTTGCTTCCACATACAAGTGAGGAAAAAAAAAATGATTGTTTCCAACATTCTTGTATACTATTCATGACGATGATATGGCTTCACATCACTCAGGCAAAAAAGACATGGAAAGAATCAATGCTGAGCAGGATTGTGCAATTGACCGAAAAAGCGCAACTAAGTAAACCAAAGCTTCAGAGGTGGCTGGATAAGTTTGGTGAGCACTACAGTAAAGTGGTTGTAGTTCTATCAGTTGCTGTTGCCTTCCTTGGGCCATTGCTTTTCAAGTGGCCATTCATTAGTACACCAGGTAATTTTAGAGGGTCTTTCTATGTATGTTCTCCAGAATTCCTATCACTGTTTCTGCTGCATTGCCTTTTTTGTATAATGTCAGTTGCCTTAGCTGGTGTTCACATTATTTGGCTAAAAGAGGATCTTTGACGACATATGCAATGATCACATTGGTTATTAGTTACTAGTGTTCATCATTGTTTGACAATTAGATCAATGGTTATTAGTTAACCCTCTATTTAGAAGCTCACAGTACTCGGCAAGGAAAAACAAGCACACAATATATAAGCTCCCATCACTCAACCCACACAGCATGTTTTCAACATATACCTTCATAGCCTCCTGTACCTGCAAAATAGATAAAGTATGGCTATATATGTAGTACGTTAGAAATAAACTGTAAGGGCAGTGACAGGTTGGTAATATAGATGTGCTCACATCCCTCAACCCACATTGGTTAGACTTTATCTTCATTCCAGCAATCACTGAGCTACACAAGAAATAAAACATTAGAAAACACACACTCTTGCTCAGTTTCACTCAACCCACATTTACTGAACTCCCATTATATACAAAGAAAGCTCAAATAGCTATATCTCTGCTATTTTTATTGATGGCATCCTCATAAAAGTTACTGTAAATTTGAAGTCTATTTTATCCAAGTATTCAGTAGGGAGAAATACTTAGTGAGATAATCGCTTGCTCAAAAAAAAAAAAAAACGCAGTGAGATTTATTTCAATCAATTTAACATCTAGATGTCTATACTCATTACACATTGGCGTGACATGTATTAATGAATATATTTATCCATCATTACGTATTGGCATTGCATGTTGTGTGAGCATCTTTCTTTCATGTTCTGTTATCAATGTCTTGCATGAATCTTTTACTAAATTCTTATTCAGGGAAAAAAAAAAGAAAGAAAAAGTTCTAAGGACATGCTATCTTTTATTTTTTGTACTGATTTAGTAATGACTCAGTCATGTAGTTTGCAGAGGATCAGTTTACAGAGCGCTGGGGCTCATGGTGGCAGCGTCACCTTGTGCATTGGCTGTAGCTCCTCTGGCATATGCTACTGCAATCAGCTCTTGTGCAAGAAAGGTATAAACCATTATAAAGCAATAAACCATGATCTTCATGAATAATATTGTCTCCTTTCTGTCTCTGTATGTCTCTCTCTGTGGCTGGGAGGCACGGCTGAGTCTTTTTGTTTTTTTTCTTGTAAGAGTATTGCTTCTGTTTTTGTTTTGATTTTCTACTTGGGTCTTCTACTATTACGATGGTGTCTTTAGTTATTCTTTGTATATTGGAGAGGGGAAAAATGAAAGGACATCACCAAAGCATTGTCTTTTAAAATATGATATTTATATCATTTACTGTTCTTCATAATAACTTCATATCTTAGGACAGTTAAAAATTGAAGAATTAAACAATTGAGTCCTCTGTTCAGTAGCTTGTTTCTCTCCCTTGGTCCCTTTAATGTTTTTAGTTCCAGTTGTATTGTCTCCAATCTCCAGAAGGTTCCTTTTTAGTCTTGGACATATAGAAACTTCTTTATTGTTGGATTCTTATGATTGTTGGATTCTTATGACCCGGCAGCATGGTCAGAGAGAGGGAGGGAGGGAGAATCATTTCTCATGCTGAGTGTTCATTTTTGCTCACAGCCATTAACAAACTGATTGTTTGTAGGGGATATTGCTGAAAGGTGGACATGTACTAGATACACTAGCTTCTTGCCACACTATTGCATTTGATAAAACCGGTACGTTGACAACAGGGGAGTTTATGTGCAAAGCAATTGAACCAATCCATGGGCACATGAAAAATGGAGAAAGGTTTGGTTCTTGCTGTGTTCCAAGTTGTGAAAAGGAAGCTCTTGCTGTGGCAGCTGCCATGGAGAAGGGTACCACTCACCCCATTGGAAGGTATTTTTGGTGCAACAGAAATACGTCTTTCTAGTTAATGTTCTCTCTTATCTGACTGTATATATTATATTACAATATTTTGGGGAAAAATGTTTCAAGATGACCTATGAGCTAGATTCCCACCACTAAGCGACCTCTGGATAAACCAGTGATTGATGTGGCTGAATTTTCTAATTTGCAATTTAACATTGCCCTTGTCTGGCATGATCCTGCCGGAGTGATGTAGAGTACAAGAAGCTCAAGGAAGGCTAAATTGAAAGAAGCAATGATATTTGGACATCGACATGATTTCATAGAGAAACTGAATTTTATATAATTATGTTTCTAGTATTATTAAAATATTATTTTATGATTATTTTTATATTTTGTAGGATTTTTAGGTCAAGGGTATTTTGGTAATTTTTGTTATTGTTGTCATGGATTGTAGCCGCCCATGGGTCATCTTGTGGGTCAAGTTATTTAATTAGGTTTTATTTATGTTTCTTATTTAGTCTTAAATTAGTTTAGAAGAAAGATATTATAATAGACTAATAGTTTCTTTTTTTGGTTATAGTTGGTTTAAGAAGTCTCCTAATTCTATATAAAATCATGTAATACCTATAATTCAATGGAGCTGATATTTTGTAAAAAGTTGACAGTTTTAAAGATTCTTTATGGGTTGTGTGATGCAATCAAACTCTAGGTGTGATGCCTAAGGAATTCTAGGAGTGATTCCTAGATCTATCTTCTTCTTCTTCTCTTTTTTTTTTTTGGTTTTTTTTTTTTTTGTTCTCCTTAAATTTCAGCACTTTCAGCCGACCCCATTTGATGGGACTTAAGGTTTGGTTTGGTTTGGTTTCAGCACTTTCGCAGCCCCAGAACAGTCTTTACAGCGATGTCGCTATTTGTCCTGCATCACGGAGTCTCTGATTTAGTTAATAAATACTGAACTAGCTAGAAAACTGTTTTAAATGATTAAATCATAAAGCTACTTATTATATTACTTTGTAAGCATAAACACCCTCTAGGTGTGTTCCCAACCCTATGTATCCCACTTCTGCTTTCTTTATTTGACTAAAAGTTTATCCATTCTTATATTCTTCTACCATTGGGGGCTTTTCAGTGGACTTGGTAGCTATCAAAAACCACCTTTGAAATTGTTAAATTTACTGTGGTTGGTATTTTGTGTCCGGGGGGAGGGGGGAAATAATAAAGAAGAGAAAACTAGGGCTGTGTTTGGTGTGAGTTTCATATTTGAATGCTATGTTTGGTTTAATTTTCAAATTATGATTCCAAATCAATTTCAGAACACATTTTGAAAACATATTTGGTAAACTAGACAATTTTTGAATTTTTGGTCTACCTGGTCGTCTGCTTGGACATTCTTTTGGATGTCTGGTCGATTGACCGTAACAACACTTTTTTTTTTTTTTTTTGTTGCAATTGCCAATCGCTACCTGTTATTTGAAAAAAAAAAAATTTATATTTGTTTTGACATTTTTTAAATACACAATTTTTTTTTAGACCAAAATGACAAAATGTTTTTTTGAATTGAATTTTAAAAAGAGTTTGGTTATGAGCTTTGAATAGAATTTCAATAAAGTTTTGAGTTGCGTGTTTGGTTATGAGCTATAAGTTTTTGAATTAAGTTTTGAAATTTTTTTTCAAAACTCATGACCAAACAACTTTTCTCATTTTATATGTCACATAAAAAATTCAAAACTCTTTTTAAAACTCATAACCAAACAGATTTTCTGTTTTCAAATCATAATTCCAAACTCACAAAATCAAAATACAACTCTATTCTCAAATCATAATTCTAAAACTCTACCAAACACTAAATAGAATTTCTGCTTCAAAGCAATTTTATAATTTTGTAATTTTTGGGAATGGAATTTATAATTTTCAGTGAACTTATTAAACATTTTTATAATTTTCTTGGCTGTGAGTGGAACTGCATTGACATCAATCCAATAATTGTACGATTTATAGAACAAAAAGACGATCTTGGATAGGTGAATATTTGAAGGACAAAGCCTCAGCAGTCCCTACAGTTCAATTAGAAGAACTAATAAGGTTTTCTGATGCATGAAATTAGTGAGATTTGATCACATGCATGTTCTACAATAACCATGCATTATACCTGGTAAACCTTCATGTATGCTATTTCAACAAGCATTGTTTCTAATTTGCACCATCTGTAATTACAGATAAAGTTAATCTGAATATGGTCATTGGTTATTGACCCATTCATGCCATTTTGTATATCTACGGTGGATCCTTTTCATTCTTAAAAAAGGATGGTTTTGAGGTTAGCCTACCTTTTACACGGGGCTGCCTGCAGGGCATAATTTGCATACAGTTGTGTGCATGAAGCCTTATCATGCACCCTTGTTCTTTGTACTGATCATACTATAATTCCTTAAAAATCAATCTTGACTTATTTTGTGTTTTTTCTACTATGGGGGAGAGAGAGGGAGAGAGAGAGTACTTGATCTAATCTAACTATGTGGCGAGAACCTTTGTCTTGATTAATCAGCAAGTATGCTTTCTTTGGATATATGAACTTTTTTGAATGCAGTTAAATTTTTGTTTTTTGGCGCTAATTCGGTATTAATGTCATGGTTGGACTTGGACACAATATTTTTGATCTTTAGTTTTATTTTTGAGAGTATTTACCACCTGTTATTTTGGTTGTTGCAGAGCTGTTGTGGATCATAGTGTAGGGCAAGACCTTCCTTCCGTTTCTGTTGAAAGTTTTGAGAATTTACCTGGTAGAGGTCTTTTTGCGACATTATCTAGTGTTGAGGTAGTCTCTTCCATACCAGCATAATACTGAGTTCCTATATGGAGCAGCTACACTGATTATGTTAAACTTATTCCATTATTTAACAAATATAATTTTGCTTTAGGTATTGTATTTCTTTCATTTTCTGTAGAGTTTCTATTTAATCGTGCCTCTTTGTTGGAATTTGTTATGCCATGATGGATCAAGTAAATGCCAATACAAAGACACTTTGCCTAGTACATTGGTATATCACTCGGTCCAATTTTAATGAATAGTTGTCTCCTGAAGTGTCTCAGAGAAATTGATGGTACTTTGATCGACTCTAATATGAATCACTTGCATAGTACGTTCTTGTGAGTCCCATGCAATGGGTTTGGTGTGACTGGCATTATGTTCTTTTCTTTTTCATAATTGGTTATATTGAAATTGTTCTGTAGGTCTTGGTGAAGCAGGCTTCTCTAATCATACCAATTTTTATCCATCACATTAGCCTGTTTAAAAGTTTGTTAGTAGTACTTGTTTCTTTGCTTCTTTGAGCAGATTGTACTGGAAGTTATGTGTTTTCTTAACGTTTCATACTGGTTTCCCATCATAACAGGGGATATAAGTCGACGTTCATTTTTATTCTGTTATAGGCAGGACTTGGAGCAGGTGAACCATTGAAAGCTTCACTTGGTTCTGTAGAGTTCGTCACTTCACTTTTTAGCTCTGAAGACGAATCAAAAAAGATTATGGAAGCAGTGAGCACCTCTTCTTATGGAATTCATTTTGTTCGGGCTGCTCTATCAGTCAATAATAAAAAGGTGAAATTCTTAGTTGTGTGAGAATAATGATGATGCTGGATGTTGTGACTTATACTTGAATGTGATTTCCATATGAGTTTCAGTCACAGTTCCATTTGTAAAAGGCAAAAAGTTTACTAGAAGATGGATAACTAAAAGTTGGATTAGCTTTATTCATCTTCTTTAGAGATTTAAGCATGTTTCTCAATTGTCTTACTCTAGGATATACTTTATAAGACAGTTTGGAGACCATACTTTTCCATATTCCCACAATTTAACGTGCTTAATCAATACTAGTTGACAAACTTGTAAATGAACGTGTGAAGACAATTCTGTTAGTTATTTCCAGTTTGAAGACTGAATTTTTACTTATTCCCCACTTTCCCTTTGCCTATGATACAATTTTTCTCTCCCACACGTGCATTCATGTTCTAAAAGCCACCCTTCTAGTTACAAACACACACAAAAAAAATATATAAATAAATAAATAAATAACAGGAACAGTGTGCACAGTTTGTGTTGGCCTGAGGCATGAAAAGAATGGTAGCGTGTGTGTGACAAATATTTTGCTAAATTTCACCTCAGACCACTTTACAAACCTTTGTGATGTATCGAATAGCTCAATAAAAATAATAGGCTTCGGAAACCTAAAACGAAGGCTTTGGGTCCTACAATCATCAAGAAGCCTTTTTGGTTCAAATGAAAACGTCCATGGTAGTGTTTAGGGTATTTATTTACATTTGTGCTAAATAGTATAATTCTAATCTTTTTTATTTGTGTTTTCTCTCTTTTAGGGGTTTATAATATATATATATACTTAGAAAATATGAGGAAGAAGAACTCCGAAAATATGAGGAAGAAGGAATATATTTCTGTTATATTCAAAACTTCTTATTTTACAAGACCAAATGACACTCCTTATATAGGAGATATTACAAACATCATTATAACCCATTATATGCCACTTACATATTATATATTACCACTATCTACCACTATCATATTATATACATGCCACTATCTACGACCAACACCACTATCATATTATATACATGCCACTATCTTATTATATGCATTAACACAAATTTCCAGCATATATATATTATAATTTTAGAATTTGCAGGACTTGGGTTGTTATATGGATCTATGGATGGTGTTTTTGGTCAAGTTATTAAATGGTTCCATTTTATATGTGGGTTTTATTAAAGTCTAAGATAGTCTTTTAGGTCAATGTTTCCTAGGTGGCCTATATATGTAATCTTCTAAGCAGTAAGAGTTGAATTATGGATTTGGATAATTGTGATTGTCTTTTGTACGTGTTTCTCTTCCCTTGTGAGAGTACACCCTTGATCTTTCTCTTTCTTCTCTCCACGAGAAAGCAAGGTACTATACTTGGGTTATTGTTCACAGCAGTAGAACAGTCTCAATTTCGTCCTCTAAACCCTTCCCTTTTAAGCCTAAATCAACACCAATCCCTTTCCTTGCCTTCAGCATTCAAATTAATACCAAAAGCCATAAATCATTGCTAACCAGAGTTTCCAGAATCACTTTTTTCTGAAAATCCTGCGTCTGCTGTTTTGGAAATCAGGCAAAAATCTCCAACATATTTGTCGACGAACACTAGAAACTTTCTTCTAACTTTTAGATCCCCTTGTATGATGCCTAAATTCTAAGTTTCCTAAGCAGTCCTAGTCCTACATCACACTGGATGTAAAGTTTTAGAGCCAGTCCTTTCCCATAGATGGTTATTTACCATCAACCTTGCTGCAAACAATGGCAAATAAATAGCACAAAACCAAAATTAGAAATACAAATAAAAATGTAGAAGTAAAACATGGAAGAAAATAAGAGCATTTTCTATTAGCTGATTAACTTCAGTCTCCATGGCATTAAAATAATGCCCATCAAAGTAATAAATTTGGTATTTTGACCATCCTAGTAGATAACAAAGTTTCATAAAAAAAAAATGTGTGCAGGTAACACTGTTTCACTTTGAGGATAAGCCTCGATCTGGGGCTATGGATGTCATACTGGCATTGCAAAGTGAAGCAAAGCTCCATGTAATCATGTTAACGGGTGACCATAATTCAAGTGCATGGAGAGTTGCAAATGCAGTTGGTATCAAGGAGGTTTATTGCAACTTGAAGCCTGAGGATAAGCTCAGTCATGTGACTAGTGTCTCAAGAGATACTGGTAAGATTTCTGATATACAACACTACTAAACGTTCAGGCTCACAAATTTTTTGTGTGTGGTTGTTTTGCGCTATGCTTTTAGCTTCTTCAGTATAAATATTGATTTATTTTAGATTGACAAAGTTTAGTGTCTAGTAAAGTTGTTACATTTGACTCTTCTGAAGTTCTGGAATCCAATCATTGCAGTTTGTCAAAGCAACCTCCCATTGATGCGTAGTTGGTAAAGAATTGTCTTTCATATATAGAGCACAAGGAATAAAGTGGCAATGAAAGGATATATGACAAGCATGAAAATACTGATACATTGACAAATATTTTCCTCAATGTATCAGTGTTAAGTTTTTGAAAAATAATGATATTTGTCAATGGAAATATTGAGTGATAGAAAGTGTTATTGGAAAATGCTAATGCTGCTTTATTGAGTAAAAATATTGCAAGAAAACTTTTGATCTAGGCAACTCACAATAAGATGAACCAATTTTTAATTTTATTGCAGGGGGAGGGCTTATAATGGTTGGTGACGGTATCAACGATGCTCCAGCACTTGCTGCTGCTACTGTAGGAATTGTGCTGGCCCAACGTGCTAGTGCAACTGCTATAGCTGTGGCAGATGTGCTGTTGCTGCAGGACAATATTTCTGGTGTTCCATTTTGTATTGCTAAATCTCATCAAACAACTTCCCTGGTATTCAGTTCATTCTCTTTATTCTCCTCTACGATCCTTTTCCTTTGTTTTACTGATGCATGGACTGTCCTCTGCACAATCCATTTCTGTCTTGCTATTGGTCTTACATTCCTTTGTATTTGCAGGTCAAACAAAATGTCGCCCTTGCCTTATCTAGCATCTTTTTGGCCTCTCTTACGTCAGTTTTGGGGTTTCTTCCGCTCTGGTTAACGGTACAAATAATTTAACAATTTAATTTCCAAACCCTTTTTTTTGTTATGCATGTGTTGTGATGGGAATTACACCAGATTCACGATTCTGTTGGTGATTCATGCATAGATCAATGTGAATCTATGGGTGGATCTATTTTAAGAATTCAATTAACGTTTTACAATTCATGTGATTCGTGAAACTATCGGGTTTTGATAGATTCAGACCCTTTTTGACTTGTGCATGATTTGTTATTTGGGTGATTAGAAGATTTAATAGGATCTGATTAGATTCATTCATACCCAACAAATTTTTAACCTTTTTCCACATTTTTTCCTCAGAAAATATTAAAATGCATCATCTAAGGATGTTTATGACTAAAGTGACTTGTACCCATGCATGGACAAAGAGAGGGCAGGCCCAGAGGGGGGGCCTTGGGCCCCTTGAAATTTTAATCAAGCTTGATAATAATATTTGGAAAATGATTCATAAATTGACTTTTTAATACAGATAATTTATCTAGAATGTTTTGACAGTGACATTTTTTAAAATTATGAGACACAATGGTATGTAATGACCACAAAAGGCCACACGATTTTTATGAGATTTTAGTAAATTTTGATTATATAGTATTGCCCCTTTGTTTGATGGCTTTGTCACCATGGTTACGCAATTGTAAACTAATTGTAACTTACTGTCACATAAATGTCAAAATTTCCTTCAGTTCCATCACAAAGGTTGTTAAAGCCAATGAACCCAACAACATGGGGAAACTGTTGGAATACTCTGGGTGCTAATTATTATGCCCTTTCTATATATATATAATTGTTTAACTTTGGCTTGTCATTTTACTTGTAACTGGTTTTAGATGTTTATTTTTTTATGTAGATACATGATCAACTTTATAATATTTCATTATGATTACTAGAAGTTATTGTTTGATGTTTTATCGTTGTTGACTGTTTTGAATTTGTGTTCAGCATCTAATAGAAATCAAATTGGCCCCTAAATTTGTTGTGGTGAATATGCACAGGTTCTTTTACATGAAGGTGGCACTCTTATTGTTTGTCTCAATTCTATCCGTGCTCTAAATGACCCAACATGGTCATGGAGGCAGAATCTTGTGGACATGGTTGATAAATTCAAATCCGTGATTATGTTTCGAAGGAGGCACAGTACCCGCCCCAGTACCATTGATGCTGCACCCCTGTAGCTAACACCATCTATGGTAGCCCTTTTAAGGTGTGATTTCTTTGTGCTCAAACAATGCTCTAATTCTGTAAGAGTGTAAATAGGATGAAAAAAGTTAGATCCCGTGTAGGTTTTTAAGTGTATTTCGTGAATAATCATATTATTTGACTCACATAAAGTTTACTTGAGAATTTCAATGTAATTTTAGTACATTGTTGATATTTGTTTTTTCCTTGGTATCTAATTTTCATTCCCTAATAATTACAGTTACAGTTTCAAATTTAGTTTGCTGGTATCTAAACTGCCCTTTGCTTTTTTCTTGAATTTCTCCTCCATCTACAACCTCAAAACTGGCATACCCACCTCTTTTGGCAGTTATCTCTTTAACATTGTCAATCACCTTACCACATCACCCATGGCTAGTCACCACTCTCTTCACTTCTTTCTCTCTTCTCTCTCTGAAGACCACAACTAAACCCACAATCACAACCATTCTGAGAGAGAGAGAGAGAGAGAGAGAGAATGGTGATTGAGGCCACATGCTACCAACAGCTTCCGCACCATTGATAGCAACTGGTCCAAGATGGAGCTCAATTGCGTGCGGGCTGATCTGTTAGCAAATGCTGTATGAACTGGTTTGAGAGAGGATGTGAATAGTTGAGCTGAGTTTTGGCCATGGAGATACAGTTGAGGCAATGGTAATTCTGTGGTGTGGGTGCCAAAAATTAGGTCTTGATTTTAGAGAGAATTAGGTAGGAGAAAGAGATGAAGGCTTGGTTGAGGTGCAGATGGTTTTAGAGAATCAATGGAGTGAAAATAGGACACCACCAGAGGTGGTTGAGCAAGGAGGCTGAGAGTGGTAGCAGATGAGAGAGAGTGGAGGTTGAGAGTGGTGTTGTTTTGTTTGCTAAGGTGGCGGCAGCAATGGGTTGCCAAAGAGGACAAAGATGGTGATGGTTGGTCGTTTAAAGGAGATTAAGGGTAGTTCTTTTTTTTCTTTTTTCTTTTTTAAATTTTAAACTGAGATTATGGGTAGTAGTGGACATTAAGTGGTGGTGGTGTTTGTAAGTTGTAACCATGGAAATTGAAAGTGTGGTTTCTTGACGTGGGTGGTTTTGGGGTGTCAGCGAAGGAGGGAGAGAGAGAGAGAGAGAGGAAACTTCAGAGATTAGTGTCATTTATAATGTATTAAAAACTTTCTGAATGGAAAAACTATCAACGATTACTTTAGTCAACTGCAGGGGGTTTTAAATGTCTGGCCTTTGAACCAATTTTAGGACAAACCGTGTAGGGCAAAATTTGAATTACCCCTTATGCTAATCTTAATGATTAAGTTCCGTTTTGATTGCTTCAAAAAAAGGTAGTCTACTTCTAGACGGAAGTACAGAAAGGCAGAGGGAAATTGGGAGGATTTGTGTGGTATGTGAAACACAGTAGTTTAATCAATACACGGAACACCCTAATTTGGTCTTCCTGTTGTTTGCTTTTTTTCTTTTTTTTTTTTTCTTCTAGAACTCTGTCGTTTTTATTTAAAAGAAGCACAAGGAGCCTTAGTAGGAGAGAGTAATTTAAAACAAAAAGAAAAAAAAAAATAAATAAAGTGAGTTTGTGTAAAAAAGTTGACAGGTTGAAGTAAAAAATCCAATATTTCATATCGATGATCCAGCTTGTTAACGTTTTAGAACTCATTGAGAAGAAAATTTATGTAAAAAATCAAGGGGGAGACTTACGTGGTCTTATAATACTTAATGATATTTTTATAAAATATTATTAAAAAAGTCACTAATTATTAATTTTCAACAACAGTTTAAAAAATTTATCATAAAAAAGTCATTAATTATAAATTTTAGCGACAGTTTAAAAAAAATTTCATAAAAAAAGTCACTAATTTTTAACTTTCAACAATTTGAAAAAGTTATCACATGGAAATGTCACTAATTATAAGTTTTAACAACAATTAATAATAATTATGAAAAAAATTCATAATTGTCAATTTTTAACAATATATGCAAAAAAACGTTACAAAAAATTATTTTTAGCGATGATTTTATTAGGACTAACTTTCAATAAGACATAATGAGAATTAATTTTAACTATTAAGACTTATTGGTAGTTTATCCAAAATTAAGATGATTAGACTTCGATAGCTATATGTTTGAATCACATTTGTCTTTAAAAAATGAACGGTTATTCTTGAAATTATATTTTGTCGTTCATTTAAAAAAAAAAAAGTGATTCAATCATATAGCTAACGAAATCTAATTATCTTGATTTTTTATATGAATATTCTTCTTAACAAGTACTAAAAAGTGAACAGTTCGGATTACTGAGATTGAATTTACAATGGGTCAACTAAGTTCAAATGCTCTCTCAAGTTGGCTTGCGAATATGGGAGAAGTTAAATCCATTTAGGAGTCGTTTGACAATGATTTTTTTAGTTAGTTTTTTGGTTTTTTTAACTTTTTTAGTTATTTAGGGTTGGTTTGAGATGTTCTAAAAAAGTGCACTTTTTGACTTATTAACTTTTTTAGTTTTCTTGTTTGACTTTTTTGACTTTTTAATTTTGGAATGACAAAAATTGCCCTTAGTATAGAATGATGCTTTTTGACTTTTTGTTTATAGATGGGATAGTTTGATACTTTTGTAACTTTTTTTATCTTGTTGTGATTTTGTAATTTTTTTTTGTCTTTTTGTGATTATATAGCCAAAGATAAAAAGCAAACCAAGGCTTGGTTATCGTTTAGCAACAATTTTTTTTACCTAAATAAGTACAAAAAGACAAAATAAATTAAATAAGTTAGTATTTTATTTTTTCCTTCACAACCATCAACATTCAATCTTAAAAAAAAATTAAAAAAGTTTCTCCAATGAAACTTAATATATAGGGTGATGTACTTGTTTTAGAGATACTAAATTTAAATATTGATTTATCATATAAACCTCCCAAAAATTTAGCGAAACAGAAGATTTGGGTGGGCCGTTGAGGCTTGAATCATACGTAAAATTTAAAAGAAAAAAATGAAGACGTGATTGGCAACCATATTGTGTCCCCAAAAGTCCAGAAAAATATACCAATAAATTTAAGAGATTGAAACCGCCCAAGTAATGCAGGAGGTATGTTTCTTCTCAACTTCCATAACAACCTTAACCGTGAAGAATTCGTGGGTGTGGGGGTTCCAATTTCCTATTTGGTTACAAATCCTCTTCCACTCTTTTCTCTTGAAAACTGTTTAAAATGTTAATGTATTAGAAAATATTTATGCAGAATATTTAATCAATATGATGTGGTTATTGATATTTTTAAAATAAATTTTTTTGAAGATCCAATGTGTCATGTTATTTTGTATAAAATTTTTACTTGCATATTACTATAAAATTCGTCTTTTTTTTTTTTAAGTACATATAAAGCAATTATATTAAAATAGAAATAAATAGCGTACATATCAAAAAAAAGAAAGGTAAATTATGTAGATGGTTTTTATAGTTTACATGATGTGTCAATTTGGTCAATTTTGTTTTAATTTTGATCGATTTTATCCCTTAATTTAACGAATTGTATCATATTGATCAAATAAATAACGGTCATTAGGTTTGGTGGACGGAAACTCAAATAATGTATCAATTTGGTTTATGTAATTTACACGATGTGTCAATTTGGTCCCTATCAAAATCAAGTAAATTAAAACAACGGGGACCAAATTGATACAGCGTGTAAACTGCAGGTTTCAAATTAACACATCGTTTAAGTTTTCGTCCACCTAACCTAACAGCTGTTATTTATTGGACCAATATGACATAATCAATTAAATTAAAAGGGCTAAATCGAGGAAATTAAAACAGAGACCAAATTGACTCATCATATAAACTATAGGGACCATTTGCTTAATTTACCCAAACAAAAAAAATAAAAGACCCCAAGGACCAAACAAACAACCTCACAAAAATTACAAACGACAAAATACAAAGGTGCAAAAAATACAGTGATTCAAAAAAAAATTATTCACTTTGTTTGGTTCTGGTTTTCAGAAAATTCTACTTTTTTATTTCCTGTATTTTACTGTTTTCAATGAATTTTTTTAATATTTTAAGCAATTGTTTCTAATTTTTACACACCTAACATAAAATGAATTTTTTTAATATTTTAAGCAATTGTTTCTAATTTTTACACACCTAACATAAATACACTTAAAAAATATAATATTTATGAAAAAAAATCTTCAAAAAATACACTAAATACCAAAACATATGAAATTTTAGTATATTTTTTTGTATTTTTGTGTATTTACTAATTTTTTTAAATATTTTTTCACAAATATTTTACTATTTAGATATATCTAAGTAAGGTACATCTAAAAAAGTAAAAAAAAAATTACTTAAATTTTAAAAATATTCATTAAAAAAAATTGACTCATCATATAAACTATAGGGACCATTTGCTTAATTTACCCAAACAAAAAAAATAAAAGACCCCAAGGACCAAACAAACAACCTCACAAAAATTACAAACGACAAAATACAAAGGTGCAAAAAATACAGTGATTCAAAAAAAAATTATTCACTTTGTTTGGTTCTGGTTTTCAGAAAATTCTACTTTTTTATTTCCTGTATTTTACTGTTTTCAATGAATTTTTTTAATATTTTAAGCAATTGTTTCTAATTTTTACACACCTAACATAAACACACTTAAAAAATATAATATTTATGAAAAAAAATCTTCAAAAAATACACTAAATACCAAAACATATGAAATTTCAGTATATTTTTTTGTATTTTTGTGTATTTACTAATTTTTTTAAATATTTTTTCACAAATATTTTACTATTTAGATATATCTAAGTAAGGTGCATCTAAAAAAGTAAAAAAAAAAATTACTTAAATTTTAAAATATTCATTAAAAACAAAAAAACAAAAAAACAAAAAACAAAAAACAATTTTCAGAAAATTAAATTTAGAAAACTAAAGCATAATACATTGATTGATTTTTACATAAATGTAATTTGAAAAAATAAGATCTACATCAACCAAGCAAAATCTACCTCAAACTTGCCGTTACTATCGACGTTGTCCATGTTACCCAACTCCGCTATACTTTTAACACTGCTAAAAATTAGAGTCGATGAGAAAAAATACCCACGACAGTATAAAAGTCTTGTCCACCAAACCAAATGCACCAACTTACATTCCTGAAACATGAGCTCGAAACACGCTTAAGATAATATTTTTTTTGCCATTTGGGTAT